CTATCCCACGGGAACCGTACATTTTTCCGGTATAAAAAGTAGCCTATGTGTTATTCCAGACTATAATATATCTCTGTGTCAAATTTCATACAGATCCGTGGCGTGAAAGTGTAACAAACATCCATACATACAAACTTTCACATTTATAACATTTATACAGATTTAATGTTTATTTCATGACCTTTGACGACGACACGTTTGGCTCAGTTTGTAGTGTGCCTACTTGCTGTGCCAGCGGTCGCGGGTTTGAGTCCCGCTGGGGGCATTCATTTGTGTGATGAGCACGAATGTTTGCACTCCAGTCATGGGTGTTTATATTTATAATATGTATGTATTTAAAGTTATATATTATGTATAGTGTATCAACTATCTGGTATCCATAACACAAGCCTCGTAGCTTACCATGGAACTAGATGGCGCTGTGTGTATGTCCATATATAATATTTATTTATTTATTTGATAGTAATTACAAAAATTTACGATCACATCTATAAAAATTGACCTTTGACATAAAACTAGCGCTGATAAGTAATAGTAATACTTGAGTCATTGCCCGCGAGTGAAACTCTATCGTGTCTAACCACTAAGCTGACCCCCAATTTGTATGGAAGCACATATAACGTAGAGAGCAAGAGATATAGACATCTATTAGTCTACTGAGCTTATCGAAATTAACTAACAACACGTACTTATTTGTTCATGCTTTAACTGCTGAACAGATTTCGATGTAATTTGACCAGGAAATAGATTCTATTATGACAAGATACATTGTTTTATCTCTGGCCCTTTACCATGTAAGAGAAGTCGCGGACAGTAAGGTTTCTGACTTGTATAGGTAATAATTGATAAGGCTCATCAGCCGTTTTGGAGTGATGTGCGATTATTCAAAAGGACTGACATCTAGAAGCTTTACGTATTACGAATATTTACTTCAATCGAGAATCAAACTCTAGACCATTGTACAAACATTTGTCTATATCAGTTAGTCGGTACACATATAAATGTAATTACGTCTTTACGTTTGAAGTTTATGGCCTTTTAGCTCTTTGCATTCTCCCACAAATTAAACTTTTCGTGTACTTTTGACGCGTGAAAGTGCTCTATATAAACTTTCCATTTTATTATAGTATTAACAAGAACTGTTACTAGGACTTATGCTACGTTTTGATTTTATACTAGTTTCATACTGTGGTGTTGGTCACATTTACACTATAATATTTTTTGTAGCATTCACATTTTATCGTCCTTGCATTCTTAAAACATAAACATGTAAAAATAAAATCTAAGAAGATAAATTTATATCCGACTGCGTCGAAGCCCAAAGAAGGGTTATGTTTTTCACCTATACAGTCTGACGACACGTTTGGCTCAGTTTGTAGTGTGCCTTGCTGTGCCTGCGGTCGCGAGTTCGAATCCCGCTGGGGGTATTCATTTGTGTGATTATCACGAATGCTTGTACTACAGTCATGGATGTTTATATTTATTTATAATGTATATGTATTTAAAGTTATAAATGTGTAGTGTATCAACTATCTGGTATCCATGACCCAAGCCTCGTAGTTTACCATGGAACTAGATGGTGCTCTGTGTTAATGTCCAAACAAATAAACAAAAAAACAAACAGTTATATCAGAAACATACCTAATACAGTAAGGCCCCTTTCTGACTTGGCGGTGCGGTATCTGTATGGCGGTATTTTCTACGTTTTGTGAGCTTAATGATGTCGGTCAGATCTCCGCACTTATCCTACCTATATATATATATATATATACCTTCGGTGTAAAACAGTTGCATCCGCAGAAACTTGGAATAATCTTAATCTGTCTCTGTGCCAAATTTCATCCAGGTCCTCAAAAGAAGTCAAAGAGTAACAAACATCCATCCATCCATCCTCACAAACTTTCACTTTTATAATATTAGTTAGGATTTAATTATGAACAATTTATGAAAAAAAAAACTTATTTAAAAAAAACCATTTTACTAATTTTCTTATGTTTCTTAAAATATAAGAACGTTATGATATGCATTCGAAACATAATTATTATATAATATTAAATATCTTAATAACCTATAATACCTAAAAAAAAATATTATGCTCTATGGCTGGCCATTTTAATATTTATATATATATATATATCTTCCTCTTTGGATTTCATTCAAAATGATAAGCGTAAACTTCGTAATTAGATGTGAGAATCGAAGTGGCGACCTTCATTAGTTATTAGGTACATTCAAAATATCATGATAAATAGGCGCTTAGTAATACAGATGCAAAATCTAAGCCTTCAAATCTTCAGTACTATATTTTTATAACGTAAAGTGAAAGCAAATGCTAAGTTCCCACGGTACCGTTCGCCGTCCCTTTCACACCTTCACCATATTGTGCGTGCGACAAGGACGGTGATATCCAATTGCTCTATTTATACGCCCTTTCTCTTTATCCCTCATCCTTGCTATTTACGCACTACGGTGTTTGCGGATTTGAAATTGTAATAGCCAATAAATAAATAAATAAATATGTTGAGACATCAACACAGCACCATCTACCACCATGGTAAGCTACGAGGCTTGTGTTATGGATACCAGATAGTTGATACATTACACATATATAATTTTAAATACATACATATAATAAATATAAACAGCCATGACTAGAGTACAAACATTCGGGTTCATCACACAAATGAATGCCCACAGCAGGACTCGAACCCGCGAACGCTGGTACTGCAAGTAGGGTCACTACAAACTGAGCCAAACGTGTCGTCAAGTGAAATATTCTTTTAATGATTCGTATAATTAATTACTTAGAATCTAGATGTAATTTAATTATGAATTATTTTTAACTCTTAGTATTAAATATAGATTTTGTGTAAATTATAAAGAAACAATCGCTGGAAATGCTTATAGTTTGTTGTGGCTTATGAGTTCTTCTAAATTAGATGACTTCAGTCAATTTAATACCCACAGCTGAAACAAAACAACGCTAAATAACAAAGATTATAAATGCAAAAGTGTGTTTGTTAGTTTGTCTGTTTTATACACAACAGCAGAAAAATGGTTCATTGTGCGATATCTTGCACAGAGTTAGTCAATAGGTACGCTAAAAAATATCATAGACCGTAAATACTCGGTACAATAAAAAGTTTTCCGTAGGCCATTTGAATGGGAAAAAATAAAAATAAGCGGAACGAAGTAAGCAATGAAGCGGGCGAGGATCATTAGGTATCAATGGAACAAAAATGAAATGGAAAAATTTAACTGCCTCGGTGGTGTTGTGGCTAGCATGTACGGCTGCACACCCGGAGGTCCTGGGTTCGAGTCCCGGGTCGGGCCAAGTTTAGTTATTGAGTCTTCCTGTATAGTAAGTCTCAGTAACAGCCCGGAGTTGGGAAGTTGGCGGTGTTTCACCCCCGTGCCTCGGAGAGCACGTAAAGCCGTCGGTCCTGCGCCTTAACTCTCACCGGTCGTGTCGAGTAGTCGTCCCACCGGAGTATGAGAGTGATAGGAATAGAGAGTGCACTTGTGTCTGCGCGTACACTTGAGCACTATAATGTCTCCTGCGCAGTTGGCTAATCTCATTGAGATTGGCCGCCGTGGCCGGAATCGGCTAGGAGAACATCATCATCAATGGAAATGGAGAACGCAGAATTATCATTGTTTTCTTCATCTACTCACTTAATATTGGCGTCTAAAAGAACATACGTAAAAGTCCTTTATCTTGATTGATAAAGGACTGAGAAGGAGATGGACTTATCTTATGTCTCTAAGATTTCTGACTATTCCCTAAATTAAACTAGTAGTAGGCAGTGGTAGCCCAGTGGTAATGCGCTCGCTTGGAAAATCAAGTGAAGCGGGTTCAAAACCCAAGTTTCGCATATTTGATATGATGGCATAAAAATATGCAAATAATTTCCAACATGATTTCCACTTATCTTACGCCGAAGGAAAACATTGTGAGGAAACCTGTATGTCTGAGAGGACCTCGCAAGTTTTCGAAAGACAGGTGAAGTCGACCAAGCCGCACTTGGCCAGAATGGACTGAACCTGATCCCCCTCGTATTTAAGGGAGGCCCGTGCCCAGCAGAGTCACGTTAAAAAGCCAATAATTTCCATTATAATCTTATTTCTATTTACCACAGTGCGCATAGGCCTTCCGCTTCTCATGACATTTTGCAATGTATATCCAAAATAGTACAAATTGTGAAAACATTATAATAATATTTATGTCTATATTATACATTAAAATTCTAATGGGAGCCATTTTTCAAATAGACAGACGTTGTTAATTATATTTTAACTAAATCGGTACACTTCAAAACCACTACAACGACTACTATACTGTCTTATAATAAATATTAAATGAGCAATTCTTGTATAGGTATATAAAGTCATTTTTAATTTACTGAAAACCTTTTGGGGATATAATATTTACATCATAACAACAACGTCTGTAAGAAAAAAAATTGTTAAATTTTTATTTCAATACAAAAATAAAAATATTTTTACTGCACCTTCTAAACGGAATCTGGTCAAGTTTAAATGAGTAAGCACCACCTACTACACCCCTCCACCCCTCCCCCTCCACCGGCCACGCGCTTTCTTTTGCTAATGCTGGACTATTACCGTTGAGAAGGTGCAATAAAAATATTTTTATTTTTGTAAACTTTAAGAAATATTTTTTTTTCTTACAGCTGTTGTTGTTATAATGTAAATAGTATATTACCAAAAGGTTTTCAGTAAATTAAAAATGACCCTGTATATAAATTTACTAGCGACTCACTCTCGCTTCGCTCGGAATCGTACCCGGGATGAATATCGGGATGAAAGTTTGTATGGGGAAGCAACCTATGTATGTATGTCTCCGACTGCATAATACTATATTCCATCGTGAACTTGTTTTCATCTTTTTAGTTAGTTTTTATGCAGTCGTGTTTTTTTATTTTTATAATTTATAATATTATTATTTTTTTTTTAATTTAAATTTGTTTTTTTTGTTACAGGATGAAAGAGAGGGCGCGGGGCGCCGTGAAGGCGCCGTGCTGCCCAATTCCATGGAGGTAAAGTATTGGTTTTTCTTATCTTTACATATACATATATTATAGAATATGTCTGAATGTCTGCTCGTTTGTTCGCTTAGAATTTGGGAAAATATTATTACTACGATTTACTATACTTTTTTAATAGGAAAATATGTTATCTGGCCTCAAAATATATTTTTTATTTAATTTGTAGGAATTATGTACAATTGTACATTTTTAGAAAGAATAAAGTAGAAAGAAAAGATATGATATATCTATAGGTACATATAATAAAATTGTTACTAAGCCGAATCTGTACATTAAATATTTTTTGGGAAATCTTATTGAAATAGATATTATTATCGATACAGAAGCCGAATCTATAGTTTTTAGAATTTTTGTCTGTCTGTCTGTTACCGCATCACAGAAAAACCAATGGAGGGATTTTGATGAAATTTTGTATGGTGATAGCTGGTTATCCGGGTCAACGTACAGGACTTTTTACCGCGGGAAATTATCTCATTTCTGAGAAAAAATACAAAAACTGTAATGTAAAAATATACTAATATGTAAAACCTAAGAATTTGGTTTTCAACCGACTTCAAAAAGGAGGAGGTTCTCAATTCGACTGTATTTTTTTTTTTTTTATGTTTGTTACCTCAGAACTCCGTCATTTATGAACCGATTTGAACAATTTTTGTGTTGTTTGAAAGGGATACTATACTTCGAGATTGGTCCCATTTAAATTTCAAAAAAAAATACCACCCCTAAGGGTGGAAAAACAGCTAATGATGAATTTAACCTACTTCTAATTGTCATATTAACATTAAATTTGCAAGTGTTTCTATTTCCGTTGATAGTACAGTGGTTCGCTATTATTGACCTGATCTTATGGTAAGGCCAGAAGGTGGATAGGTGGAACTTTTCAACGGCTAATAGTAGATACTTTGAGTTTGGGCTTATTTTGAGTGATTTGACAAGCCTAACACGTTAGAATTCTTACTTCGCTACTACTGTGTACACTAAAAAGGGAAAAATAAAAACTTTTTAACAAAAAAATAAAAACCGACTTCAAACAAATGCACTAAAAAGTAAAAAATAACTGATTGGTAATTTTCATTTACTATACATACCTAATCAAATATTTTCGAAGTCGGTGTGATAATAAACCTACCTATGTAGGTATATGTGAAATATACCTACCTAATGGCCAATTTTAACACTGAACTTTTCTGAAGATCATAACACCGAAATCGCATATAAATGCGCGCGTAGGTACATACAGAAGTCGCCAGAGACTTCTTTTTATATGTAAAAGGATAAAGATAGTTGAATATATGGATTACTAGCATTGTCCGCGGCTCCGCCCGCGTTTAGATGACCAAAAACCAAATTCTTAGGTTTTACCTATTAGTATACTCTTACATCGCAGTTTTTGTATTTTTTCTCAGAAATGAGACATTTTCTCGCGGTAAAAAGTATCCTATATGTTGACACGGATAACCAGCTATCACAATACTAAATTTCATCAAAATCCCTCCAGTGGTTTTTCTGTGATGCGGTAACAGACAGACAGGCAGACAGACAAAAATTCGAAAAACTATAAATTCGGCCTCTGTATCGATAATAATGTTTATTTCAATACGATTTTCCAAAAAATATCTACTGTACGGATTCGGCTTAGTTACAATTTTATTATATGTATACATAGTTAGAAAAGCTGATCTTATTTTTATGGTGTTTTCACGACATCGCCTTGTGCGGAAATCAGAACGCACTATCCGATATAAACGTAGCAGATTGCAGAACCCATTGTGTCGGAGCTAATTTGACGCTAGATTAAACCGATACCATTTAATTGATCTATTGATTTGTCATTTATCAGTGAAAATGATAAGATTTAATGGAAGGCTGAGTGGAATACGGGGAAAAGTTTTTCTGACATTTTTACCCTGTTTTGGGGTTTATCAATGTAATATAATACTAGCGATTTACCCTTGCTCTGCTTGATTTTGTCCCTATGTGCCTAACAGAAACCTATGTGTTACTCCAGACAATAACAGATAGCTGTGTGCTAAATTTTATTTGAATCAGTACAGCCGTTTCAGCTCGAAGAATTAACAAACATACACTCAGACATATACATAGAATCTTTCGCAATTATGACAGTAATCTGATTAGCGAATTATCATTCTTCGCTTGGGTGCGTCCTTAGGTGCCTTTTCTATTTGTAATATTATATATAGTCTTCAGTCACGTCTTTAAGTTGTAATTTTGAAAATTTTCAATTATACAAGACTCAGTGCACTAAGAAGCTCGCAGTCTAAAGTAAAACCGAGCCCGAGTCCTTCAACAGCAACTCGAATCTTATCCGAGAAAAAAACTCAAGTTTTCAAAAAAAAAAAAACAAAACTCGGTGAAGGTGAACTTTGAAACTCATCATCAAAATAAATTCGAATATGCAACTAAATCGAATACGATAAAATTACTAACAAGGGGTTATGTACTGTTTCAGGTTATAGTCTGTGTATTAAACATCCAAAACCGTGTAATCGTTTCGTCAGCGTGAAGTATTAATAAACATACATACATACTTATTCGTTTATAGTTATGTATTCAGCTGTTTTTAACATCCCACTGCTGGGCGTGGGCCTCCCTTCAATATGAGGGGGATCAGGCCATAGTCCATCACACTGGCCAAGTGCAGGCGAACTGAGCATGTTTTTTGAAAACTTACGTTCTCTCAGACATGCAGGTTTCCTCACGATGTTTTCCTTCACCGTAAGACAAGTGGTAATCATGTTGGAAATAATTCGCACATCAAAATATCAGAAGTGCGAGACCCGGGATTTGAACCCGCTTCACTTAGTTTCCCAAGCCTACAACTACAGCCTTTATAGTATTAGTTAATTGTGTTATGTTATAAAATAAAATTTAATAGGGGTTAAACGTACATTCCTTATGTCTAACAGATTATAAAAATCATAATTATTACAGACAGTGCTTAACCATGTCCGACCAATATTTTTATATAAGTGTGGTATCTACACTGTAGTATTATGACATCTATACATATAATAAAATTCTAAGTCGAGTCGAATCTGTACATTAAATATTTTTCAGGAAATCTTATTCTAATAGTTATTATTATCCATACAGAGGCCGATTCTATTATAGTTTTTAGAATTTTTGTCTGTTTATCTGTATGTGACTGCATCACGAAAAAACCACTGGACAGATTTTGATAAAATTTGGTATGATGATAGCTGTTAATCGGGGTCAACTATATAGGATACTTTATATATATATATATATACTTTACTGCTGGAAAATATGTTATGTCTGAGAAATCTATACAAAACATTAAAACGTAACTAGGGACGACTTCTAGCGGAACGAGCGTAAGTCGCTAGTCTTTTATACTAACAAGAATTCTGACAAAAGTTTGCTCAAATTTGATTCGATAAGTATTCAATTATGTCGAAGAAAGCCATATACGGTCTTCCGTTAGAAATGCATACCACATTTACAAACAAACACGTACATACATATTGATCTGGTAATGCTAAAATTGGTGTGCGATTTCTACTCGATTCCGCAGTATATTTAGATCGCTCGCATCGGATATTACGAAAGGTGCCGCGCCTCAGCCACGCCTTGTAGTGATGTGTGTATTGGTTAATATAAAATCGATTTAATCCATACCTAATATTATAAATGCGAAAGTAATTCTGTCTGACTGTTTGTCTGTCCGTTACCTTTTCAAGCTTAAACCGCTGAATCGATTTAGATGAAATTTGGTATGGAAATAGTTTGAGACCCTGGGAAGGTCATAGGATTTTTTACCAGAAATCATCCCTTAAAGGGATAAAAATGGGGGTGGTAGTATGTATGGAGAATAAATCATTTCTCAAGTAAAATATAAAACTCACCATACCTATATATTACCTATTCCATACTTTGCGTAAAAATGTACATAGAGTTGAGGACTTTTGTAAATTGAGGCAACGCTTTAACATGTTTTGTTTTTGGTAGGAATATCCTTTTCTTTAGCGATTTTCTGGCTGATTGAAAATTGATTTATTTGTTTATTGTGTGCTTAAAGTTTTTTTAAATTATGAAAAATTTCGTGTAGTAAATGGGTGAAAACTAAAATTAACATTTTGGATTCGAAAAGTACCTACGAGTTAGTTAAAAAGTAAAACTAGTGCTATCGTTTTTTTTTTGTTATCTCCAGCCCGAGAAAAATACATTCGACATTTTTGTTCTTTCATTATTTCGAGAGTGATATTTTTATTAAAATATACATATATAAAGTATTCTCGTATCTAAAATATTAGCAGAACCCGCGGCTTGCTCGCGCTTAAACTACAACAAATCTCTAAAAAGATAGTTTCATACAAACTTTCATCCCCTATTTTACCCTCTTATGGGATGAATTTGGAAAAATGCTAAAATACGTATTTATTTAATTTTATTGAAGAGCATTAATATCAAGTTTCAAGTAATTCTGATCATAAATATTTTTTTGGGTCGTATTATAACGTGTTTCCCCGTAGGAATTAGATAAACTACCGCGGTAAAAAGTAGCCTATGTCACTCTCCAGCCCTCCAACTATCTCCACACAAAAAATCACGCCAATCCGTCACTCCGTTTCGACGTGTAATAAAGACAAACAAACAAACACTTTCACATTTATAATATTAGTATGGATGTAACAATATATTATAAGGTTTGTTCCATTGAGGTTATATACGAACCCATTCATTAAACAAAATTTAAAATCGGTTCACAATTGGCCTAGATATCTCGTAACATAAAAAAACATACATATATACTTAAGTATTAATTACATATCTCCTGTTTGAAGTCGGTGAAAAATTATTCATAAATTTTTACCATAATAATACAGCAATATTAATTAACTTAAAGCATGCGCTAATGATATTATTGTATAGACTTGTGGCCTTCGTTGTAATTTCTTGATACTTATATTTCATGCTCAACTGCGATATTTAGGTTATCTGTCATTTAACTA